CAAAATAAGTATTTTATGAAGGGTTTAGAATCACTTTGTTTGTTTCATACTTTGCAGAAGAATGTCATTGACTTCCTGTTTGTCAAATCCTGACGAGCAATCCATGCCAGTTGGAAAGCAACTGTATCACTTGCCAAATAGTGAGTCACAAAGACAAGTAAACACGACAACATGAACAGTGTGGCACTCCCTCTTGTGGTATGAGAGAGAATCACGAAGCAATCCCGAGGCATTTGTTTTTTTTTTCTGTCCAAGTACCCGCTTATTTATGTGTACACTGTTAGGAAGAAGAAGTCAAGCTAACAGTAACAGGCCACCAACGCAGTAAGGAGGACAACTTCAATACAAATCTAAATTGCCAAACGTGGACATCCATGCGTAGGCGCGCTTTTATTTTGAAGTTGTTCAATTGTTGCAGCTTGTCGCGGCACAACGGCTGACTTCCAGACGGCGTTCGGAGCGTTTATTGCCGTCATAAACCGTTGCTATTGATGGCAAAACACGACACTCATTAATTAAGGGAGCTTAAAACAAATGACGTTGTACTGTACGGCGCCTGTTGCCAGCGTTGACCTCGCAGCACTCAAGCGAATAGCCTGTGCACGTTTTGTGGCTGAAAAGTAGTCCGCAGCAAGAGCACATGCGCGTGTTAAATGTCGTACGATGATTGCCCCCCCATTCCCACCCTCGCCTCCCCGTCTTCATCTGCCCCAAGGCCCCTCACCAGTTCCTCATGATAACTGCCACCTTGCACAATAGAAATAAACAGAAGGAGAGTAAGTCTCCGCCCTTCGTGGTCACACTTGGCCGGTGTCGAGCGCTCTCCGGCGAAATTTCCCATCTGGCCGCCCGTTGTCTACCGCAAGTCATGCCCGACCTCACCGAGGAGACAAATACTCGGGACAGATTGACACTGGGTGAGGTGCAAAAGGCCAGTGCTGAGGGGTGGACAGGGGGCGTTAGATCCTATGGTCCCTGAAATGAACCCGTCTTGACCCACAAAGAGATTTAGCACGGCTGTGTCTGATTGGTCCCGCCCACGTGCGCTCTCCGTCACTCTGAAGATGACACAAAAGTCACCACTAATTACCAATTAATGGCGCATAATTGGATTTGCATCAAGCCTGTGTGTGTGTGTGTG